TGATGAAATTAGATATGAAGTTGCAGGTAAAGAAATAGACATTGTAAGAAACCCAGGAATTTCTAGTCTTATGAAAATATTGAGCTCTTACAATAAAACTACTAAATTGTCAAATGTAGCATTTGATTCTGACACAAATTTAAAAGAGTTCCATAAAGGTGGCAAGTTTAGTACATGTTTGCCATTAGAGCTGTTAATGGGTGTATTCGAGGACTTTAATAAGGTATTAGTAAATGTCAAACAAGAATTGGTGTTGAAAAGATCCAAAAATGATTTGAATTGTATATTAACAACCACTAGTGCTCCAGCCAGTGGCACTGCTGATATGATTCCTAAAATTACACTTAACTCAATTCAATGGGTGATGCCACATGTAATACCATCAGATGGGGAGAAGTTACAATTACAAAAGATGTTACTGCAAAATAAAAATTTGCAAATTGCATTTAGAAGCTTAGAGTTGCATGAACTTCCATCATATCCCAATACTACAAGACATACATGGTCAGTAAAGACATCTTCAAGTTTGGAGAAGCCTAGGTATATTATATTTGGTTTCCAAACAGCTAGGGATAATAGTGCACGAAAAAGAACTGATGAATTTGATCACTGTAAATTAAAAAATCTCAAAGTATTTCTAAACTCTGAATATTATCCGTATAGTGATTTAAATCTTGACTTTGAAAATGGAGATGTCTCTAAAGCTTATGAGATGTTTATGAGGTTTAGAGAGACTTACTATAATACTATCCCAGATCCTATGATTAGTAGGGCTGAGTTTATGAAGAAATATCCACTAATTATAATAGACTGTTCTAGACAGAATGAAACAGTGAAGGAAGGAATTGTTGATATTAAATTAGAGATTGAAACTGCAGACAATGTGCCAGCAAATACATCTGCATATTGTTTGATAATACATGATAAAGTGTTTGAGTACAATCCTTTGTCAAATGAGATAAATAAAATGTAAATAAAAGATGAAAAACATTCAACAAGAATTGGTTGACTCTGCAAATCAAATACGAGAGAAATATAGAGCTTTAAAACGTGGCAAGTTTCTAGAGGCTGAAGAGAGGTTTCAAACATTCCAACCTTTAATAGAGCCATTACAAGAATTAAAAAAAATCGCCAAAACAGAGAGGCCTCGAATGGAGATTCTCCCAATGACTCCATCTAGAATACCAATAATACCAAGATTACAACCATTACAGCAATCCACCCCACAGAAATTAGATTTTGGTCTTTTAGCATCAGACTATTTAGGAAATTACCTCAGTAAAAGTAGTATGACAGACACTACATATGGTATTAGACGAGAAGCAAATAAATTTTTTATTGGAAATAAGGAAGTTGACATTGCCAATGATGATGTTACAATTGCAAATAAAACCTACAAGGGGACAAAAGGTTTGTGGCAATTGTTAACTTTAAAAGAACCTGAGGATTATACTCCGGCTGATTTGCAAAATTATAAAGAAATTTTGGAAGCTACAAATGGACATTTAAAGAGTTACAAAGATGGTGCACCAATTTCAAGTAATAGACATACTAAATATCTTAATATAATTAAACCTCTTTTTAAATCTGTTGGTGAAGGTTTGAGACAAGTGACTGGTAATAAAATTGACTATATTTATTGGGATGATCCTAATGAGCTTGTAGATAGGTTAAGACTTCTTTGGCTAAGTCGCCAAGCCGGTAACTCAGGAGTGGATAATGAAATAGATTCCATTATTGAGGAATTGAGAGAAAGTGGAATTATTTATTAAATAAAAATATGTTTATAGATAAATTTTATCGTTTATATTATCCATATAATAAGCCTGCAGAACCTAGGGCTAGTAGTGAACCTACTTTAAATTTACAAGACGATAGTTGGAATGGTTTAAACCGTAAAATTGGTAATGTTAAAGATGGGGAGTTTGTAGATGATGTATCAACTTTGGGACAGACATTAACTAGAAAAGGTGATGTCTTCTTACAAGGTAAAACTAAATATGAGTTTTTAGAATCTAAGAATAAAAATTGGAATGCTAAAAAACAGAAAATTACTAATGTGGAAAAGGGTGAAAGTTTAGATGATGTGCCCACTTTACAACAGACTTTAATACGAACAGATGGTAAATTTGTACAAGACAATAATAATTATGAATTTTTAGAATCAGAGAATGGTGTTTGGAATGCTAAGAAACAGAAAATTACTAATGTGGAAAAGGGTGAAAGTTTAAATGATGTGCCCACTTTACAACAGACTTTAATACGAAAAGAAGATGGTAAATTTGTACAAGACGATAGTAATTATGAATTTTTAGAATCAGAGAATGGTGTTTGGAATGCTAAGAAACAGAAACTTAGCAATTTGATGGAAGGTACAGATAGTAAAGATGCTGTGAATGTTTCACAAGTTCCAAAAATGGAAGTAGGCTATTGGGATTTTAATAATAAAAGGTTAGTATGTGTTAAACCTGCCATTGATGACACTGACTGTGTTACAAAAGAACAGACTATAACTTTTGATAAAAAAGAAAAATGTTGGGATGCCAAAAAACAATTTATAAGGAATCTGCCAAAGGGGGAATATTTAGATGATATTTGTTTAATGTCACAAGCTATGTATTATGATGGATCAAAATTTGTATATGCAGGAAGAAAATTTAATTTGATGGAATACAATCCTGATTTATTAGTTGCCGACCCTACATCTTTGAGCGGATTTAAGTATATAGATAATAGACCATATATACCAGAAAACTATGTATTTAAAAGAATGGAAGATAATCTATTGATTGGGGCTAATGGTAATATATTTACAGTACAAGGAAAGAGTGATGTTATAAAAAATGAATGAAATTGCATACGAACTTCATAAGCCTGCAAGAAAGAATTTCATTAGAAGGTCTTTTAAAGTATTAGGTATAAACGAAACTGTACAAATAGATTTAATTGATATGCAAAACTATGCTAGAGAGAATTCTGGCAATAAATATATTTTAACTTTAATAGATACATTTTCTAAAAAAGCTTATGCTGCTCCACTAAAGAATAAGACAGGGTTGGTGGTTACAGAAGCCATTAAAACCATTCTACCAAAGGGGGTTAAAAACATTCAATCTGACAATGGAAAAGAATTTTTTAATCAATATTTTAGCAAACTAATGAAAAAATTAAATATTAATCACTATCACACGTTTTCTACAACTAAGGCTGCAATTGTGGAGAGGTTTCAGAGAACTTTAAAGAATTGGTTATATAGGGAATTTAGTGCTCAGGGAAGTTATAAATGGTTGGATTTACTTCCAAAGTTAATTCGAAAATATAATAATAAGGTGCATAGATCCATAGGAATGAAGCCTAAACAAGTGAATATTAAGAACAGTAAATATGTGCATGAGAGGTTGACTTCTAAAGTAGTGCAAGTTAAAAAGCCAAGATATAAGGTGGGTGATAGTGTGAGGATTTCCAAGTATAAACATGTTTTTAGTAAAGGATATACTCCGAATTGGACAGGGGAGCTATTTACAATAGCAGAAGTAAAGAATACAAAGCCTGTGACTTATATCTTGAAAGATGAAAATGGTAATATAATCAGGGGAGGCTTCTATACAGAGGAATTGTTAAAGACCAAATATAAAGACATGTATTTGATAGAAAAGGTTATTAGGAGAAAAGGTGATTTATTATATGTCAAATGGCTTGGGTTCCCAAGTAGCCAGAATTCATGGATTTCCACTAAGGATGTCCAAGGGAGCACGCCGTGAGCCGGGAGCGCGCACGAGTTCGCGTACAAACCTCGCACTGTCAAGTTGATGATTTTGAGAATATACCTGTGAATGGATGTGGATTTGAAATAGTAATGGAGTTTGAACATTTATATAGGCTTGTATTGGTCGAGAGCTGGATTTTTAAAAAAGTGGTCAAAAAAAGCTCACCATTTCCAGACGTGTTTTTCAGTATTAAAAAAGTAAAAAATTTATATATGGGTGTATAGGTCGAGAGCTGGGTCCTTAAGAAAAGTGGCCAAAAAAAGCTCCTGGGGCTTCGGACATTTTTTTCGCCGAAAATTTTAAAAGTTCTGGGCCAAAAAATGCCGGAAGTGAGGTCATATTGTGGGTTCGCCACTACTCTACATTTACACTTGTAAGGGTCAATAAATGTAAGAAATAGCTTTTTTAGCTTAATATCAAATATATTTATGGGGAATAAGTAAGAAATAAGGTTTGACAATTATATAGGGATATTTAAACAAAGATCAGGATTTTTGGTTTTAGTGGCCAAAAAATGATCCCATGTTATTTCTTATGGGAAAACGTGCCCCAAGTGACTTTAAACCGGTAGTTCGCCACTACTGTTAATTAGTTTTAAAAAGCTGAGAACAAGATATTGTACCTGAATTGCGCATATTTTTAGTTGGCCAACAAAAACAAACTACCAAGCTTAGCAATAGTCATGCGCACCACGTAGTAACATTATAAAACTGAGCCCAGTTCTCGATGTAGTTTGTTGAACAGATTATGTAAATGTCAGTTGCAGAGAGGACGACAAGGCCGTGTGCATTCTGATGCAGCTGTGTGTAGGGTTAATACAATAATCTACACTGCACGACAGCCAGGCATTAGCTACGTGTTACGGCCAGACAGTAATCTAGAAGGATTAGCTTCGCCAGACTAATTGTAGCGGCAAATACAAGCTTACCTGAGGTGCCCTCCAGATTTATGGCCCACGAGTCTCCTTGTATGACGGAAACATGGGTAACTTACTGACATATTGTAAAGCTGTGATAGGAGATGATGTTAATCTTATTGGTAGGATCTATTACTAATGATCCTACTACCAATTAGTAATTAATTAGACTGACTTGCTTAAGCTTTACGAGGATAATTTTGAAAAAAATGAAGCAAAGTTAATTTAGTTTCTAAATGACTGGTATGACTGAGAAAAGTATGAACTGAATATAAACACAGATAATTTATTGGAACATTTATTTAATAAACAAATTATTTAACAACGATTAAAAACATCAAATTAATCTTACACCTAATTACATTATACTTTGATTATTAAGCTTAGTCTAGTTATTATTAGAATTACAAAATGTACGGAAAATCCGATGCGTTGTTAAAACCTTAACACGTTTATATACACATTAGTCCTACGATTAAGGTTCACATCCCTTTAAGGCATTTTGGAAATTACACATGAGTCTTAATGTACAACGATGTTGTAAAAGCAAAATATATCTCTTTACAAATCTGAACATGGAATAGGAATGTCTAATCGATGTTTAATACTGACAATTTATAAATAATTGTTTCAGCAAAAATGTGTAATTATATTTAAACTGTGATAGGTGTAAAACGCAATAAACCCCCAATTGGTTGTTAAAATATGAATAGTTCATTTTTTGTAAAATATATCCGGTACTGCAAAGGTGTTAAACCTTTCTCAAATAGTGCCTGATAACTTTTCGGGAAGATGAAAGTGACTCATAAATTGACAAAAATGTTAAATTATATGTATACTTATTATTCACTATATATTTTATTTCAATAATTTTAAAACTTATTTAATGATTGTACTGTATATCTTTAAAATATATTCTGACCACTCCCTCATTTTAGCAGTCTAATCGTTTTCAAATCTACTTTATCAATATGAATAACATGATTTTCCTTACAGCTTGGAAAATTGGGAGTTTTACTAATTAGAATTCTGTTCTCTGTATGACACCAAAGATGTTATTATATTTAATAAATGATTACAGATAAACTTAAGATTTTTTGAGTCATTAAAATATAGCCGTGGCGAAAAAAAACATGATTGACTGCAAATCTATTTTGTTTTTTAACTTGCTATGTTTTATTTATTTTTTTTTATTTGAATATTCTCAACAGTATTCTGAAAAGATGGAGACAACCATTTTTCGTCTGAAGGAGTTGGTAAAAGGAACTTACCGGTGTGAATAAAAACGACACTTAACTGCTCTGAATAATTTTCTTCCGAAATAATATGACGAAACTATCACCATTGTCTTAAAAAGAGTAGTTTAGTCAAGGGAAATATTAGATCCTTATCTTACATATGCTACAAGATACAATAACATGTTTTAACAGCGTCTTCAATATTTACACTTGATAAATTTTAAAGGTATAAAGAATCGCTAAAATTATTGAAGTACATGACATGACATATGAAACAGTAAATGTAAAACGCTTTACTTGAACATGAATCATTCATACACAATTTGATATGTACACCTTATCTTCTATATACATTAATAACGTAAGGAACAATTATGTAACAAATAATAAATAATTTAAAATCCACTTTAAACATGTACAAAACTATGGAAGTATTTTTAAAATTATTATCACGAAGTATATTTTGTAATCATTCAAATAGACTAACTACTATATACACGGTAAAATATGAACACTAGACCTCTTTTAAGCTGCACGCCCATACACTATCACTTTCAGCTATCACTTTCAGAGGGAGAGCATGAACTCCCTTCAATGAGTTGTCGAGATTTGTAACACCTACAGTTTTATTTTTAAAACAATAAGATATGTCGTTCCATAAAAATATCATCGGAAAATCAATGTTTTGACTACGATTTGAATTAGGGTTTCAACATTCATTTGAATCCACTTAAGATATTTAAAACAAGTAATGGGTTTCTACAATCCATTAAACGGATTTTAAAGTTAAATTTCAAACCTAATAACGCTTTAATTCAATTAAAACGTCATTGATAGTAATTAAGGAAACGACAGGTGATATCAAGTGTAGCAGATAGTGTCAGAGAGGCCTAGTGTAGGTATTGCATCTATCACAGTGTTGTCGAGCTAGGAGCCTAGGAGCCAGATCATACGCAGCTCTCAGGTAGTCTACTGGCCATGAGCCGCTCCTTGATGGCGGTACCGTTGAGCTCCGGGTCAGCCCCAGACAGACTCAGGTCCTTGGGGCGGAGCTCCCAGGAGTACGGCTGACTAGAGTCTGCGTGCCTGGCCTGGCCCGCTGCTTCCTGTGGCAAGCAAAATGTTCATGTTCAAAAATATTCTCAAATATTCATTTGGGATGAAAAAACTTACCTTAAAACTGCAAAGGTTACCAATGGTAATGTTTTAATATAGTAAAACATTAATAATAATAGGTTAAATACCTTGTATACGTCCTCAATCCAAGTCGTCTTTTATAATGACTATAGTTTCGGGGCCAACAGCCCCATTGTCAAATTTTCTGTCTTGTTAATTACTGTTTACAGCATTGGTCACCGTTGAAGTACACAAGTAGTGGCGAACTACGGGTTTAACGCCACTTGGGGCACGTTTTCCCATAAGACATAACATGGGATCATTTTTTGGCCACTAAAACCAAAAATCCTGATCTTTGCCTATACATCCCCTATACTACTGTACAACTCCATTAACATTACAAATCAACATATATTTTCAAATCATGTGAGATTTGCAGCAGAACTCAAGCGCGCTCCCGGCCCACGCTTCTCATCTCCAGCGGTGTGTAGTAGTATAGTAGTGTAAAAACGCTATTCACTGGAGGATCAGGCGGTGCAACCCCCAATTGTACCATAGCACCCCATCATGTGTACACAATATTTTACTCACGATGTTTCACCTGTTTTGGATTGAATATATATTTTTGTGTGTAAAAACACTATTAACTGTATCAGGAGCAACACCGTGTATTTTTTTAGTAGTATAGTTTGTCGCCGCCGTTTTTTGGGGTGCGTCGTTTTTGGGCCAACTCCCCGCCTCACGCCTAATTGCTAGTACATCTACCATTCCCCTTTCTAGTTGTTCTATTGACTGATTTGATATGTTGTAGTCTATATTTCTGTCTTATCTATATATATTAGTCGTATGAGTTGTTTAATATTTGCATTTCTTTGTCTTTTGAGATATACCTCTTAAACTTGCTCTTGGGCCTATACAAGCCTATATAAATGTACAACTCCATATCTATATTGTATAATTTCAAATCCATCTCCAACACTCATTCACATGTATATTCTCAAAATCGAGTGAGGTTTGTACGCGAACTCAGGCGCGCTCCCGGCCTATAGGCACTGCCATGGTCACGGGCAAGCTCCTGCTTCTTGCTCCTTGTCTCTAGTGGTAGCTCTTGATTGAGTCCTGGGTGGGAAACCTCTAGTTGAAGTAATTTCTTAATTTAAAAAAATTTATAAATTAAAATTTCTAAAGTTAAATTTTATAAATTAAAATTGTTAAAGTCAAATTTTATAAATTAAAATTTCTAAAGTCAAATTTTATAAATTAAAATTTCTAAAGTTAAATTTTATAAATTAAAATTTTCAAAATTATAATTTTTTTTCTAAAATTTTATAAATTTTAAAAATTTTGAAATTTTCCAAAAGTCTATATATAGAGGTGGCATCAGCCCGAGACCTCATTCCTAAACATGAAGCCGTCATGTCAGCACTGCTCCGTGTTGCTCTCCACAAAAAGCAACCTGATTCGCCACTATAAGGTAATGCATCAAATGAATGTGAAACTGTGCAAGGTTTGTGATTTAATCTGTGATAGCCACATGACTCTAAAGTCACATATATTACAAAGTCACAAGACTTGTAATTTTTGTAAGAAAAATGTTGTTGGTCATTTTAGAAGGCATATGAATTCTTGCAATCATTGTCCATATACAATGATTAAATTTGTTGGTGAATTGATTAGAACTGACCTTGAAAATACTCTTAAGTCTTGTTCTCTGCCAATAAAATGGACTTTAGTAAGGAGAATTAAATTTATAAAATATTCAATGGATCAAAATGGAAAATTAGTTGATGAAAAAGAATGTATAGCAGATTTTAGAAGCCTTACTACCTTAACTATTGAGAAGAGAGATTTAAAGTCTCAAATTAAAAATGCACTTATAAAGATTGATGCATCGGTACATAAATATCAAGCCCAAGGTAGTGGATGGATATATGACCATACTAAATATTGGCAGCTGCATGTTTATAAGTATAAGCCCCTAACTCCAAAGTCATACATCCCCACACCAAAAAGTATTCAATCAAAACATGCAGTTCTAAATATAAAAAACACAGATAATAAATGTTTCATTTGGTCGATATTAGCAGCTTTATATCCAAGGAACTCTAATGAACATGCTAATAGAGTCTCTAATTATGTACCCTATGAAAGTCAGTTGAACATGACAAATATAAAATATCCTGTGAAATTAGCTGATATAGATAAATTTGAAACCCAGAATAATATAAGTGTTAATGTATTTGGGGTTGAAGACCAGAAATGTGTATATCCTTTAAGAACAACTAAACTAAATAGTAATACTCATATAGATTTATTATTATTACAAGAAGGTCGTAAATCATATTACTGTTTAATTCGTGATTTTGATAGGTTAATGTTCCACTGTACAAAAGATAACAATAAGAAGTATTTTTGCAAGTTGTGTTTGCAACATTTTTACACTAATGATATATTAGAACGTCACACAACATATTGTAAAAACTTTGATGCTCAACGAGTGGAAATGTCTAAACAAGATAAATTACAATTTAAAAATTATAAATATCAACTTAAAGCCCCATATGTAATTTATGCAGATTTTGAATGCTTTATAAACTCTAATATACATATTCCATCGGGATTTGCATTTGTCGTAGTAAAAGATTGAAAAATTATTTCTGAAGAGTTGTACAGTGGCACAAATGTTATGGATGTGTTTTTTGAAAGATTATTTCAGACTTATGATTATATTAAAAATCAAATGGCAATATATATTCCTCTTCAAATGACTCCTGAGCAAGAGGTATCTTTCCAAAACTCAACACACTGTCACATTTGTGAAAAGCCCCTATATTTTGATAGGGTGAGAGATCATTGCCATTCTTCTGGCCAATACCGTGGAGCTGCCCACAATGATTGTAATTTAAATTATAAAACAACAACAAAAATACCAGTATTCTTCCATAACTTGAAAAATTATGATGGTCACATAATAATGCAACATTTGGGAAAGTTTAATAAACGTAAATTAAATTGTATAGCTAAAGATATGGAAAAATATATATCATTCTCTATAGATGATTTAGTATTTTTAGATTCATACAACTTTCTGTCCCTTCCATTATATAAATTGGCTTCAAATTTGAACACATTTAGATTCATACAAAATCCACTACTACAACGTAAAGGTGTATATCCCTATAAATATATATGACGGGACCAGATAAGTTTGCAGAGTGTCTCCCACAAATTGAAGCATTTTATAGTACTCTAACTAAAGAACATATCTCTCCCAACGAATATGAACATGCTAAAAATGTCTGGACTCATTTTAATATAAATAACTTACAAGAATACCATGATTTATATCTTAAAACAGACGTATTACTACTGGCTGATGTGTTTAAGACATTTAGAGACCTGTGTTTAAAGGATTACAAACTTGATCCTGTACATATGTATTCACTCCCTGGACTAACATGGGAGGCCTGTCTTAGAATGACCGGTATAAAATTACAATTATTTCAAGATATTGACATGCATTTGTTCATAGAAAGTGCAATCAGAGGAGGAGTCAGTATGATTTCCACACGTTATGCCAAAGCCAACAATAAATATATGGGCGAACACTATGACCCCAATCAAGAGAGTGTGTATTTAATATATTTAGACTGTAACTCACTATACTCTACAGCAATGTGCGAGCCACTGCCCGTGGATGAATTCCGTTGGACAAATGAGGTAGACTACAAATATCATCAAAATGATGAGTTTGGATACATTTTAGAAGTTGATTTAAAATATGATAAAAGCTTACATGATTTACATAATGACTATCCATTAGCACCAGAGAAAATGAATGGCAAATTAATACCTAATTTAAATGACAAAACTAAATATATTTTACATTATAAAGCATTACAAAAATATGAGGAATTGGGTTTGACTGTTACAAAATACCATAGAATTTTAAAATTTAGACAATCTAAATGGCTTGCACCCTATATTAATTTTAATATTGAAAAACGAAAAAGTGCTAAAAATGATTTCGAAAAAGACTTTTATAAATTGCTAAATAATAGTCTCTTTGGTCGAACAATTATGAATCAACGCAAGTTTCGTGACATTTATCTCAAGGATGAGTCACTATTAACAAAATATGTCACTAATCCAAGGTTTGATTGTAGCAAAAAGTTTGATAACAATTTACATGCTATACATTTAAATAAATTAGTTGTAAAGTTTAATAAACCAATATATTTGGGAATGACCATTTTGGATATTAGTAAAGTAATAATGTATGATTTTCACTATAATTATATGTCAAAATTTAAGAACAAAAGATTTCTTATGACAGATACAGATTCTTTAATGTATTCTATAGTTACAGAAGACTTTTACAAGGAAATAGAATGTGACTTGCACTATTTTGATACGTCTGGATATAGTAAAGACCATTTCTTATACTCTGATAAAAATAAAAAAGTCACAGGCAAGTTTAAAGACGAATTAGATGGTCATATTATGTATGAATATTGTGGTTTAAGACCAAAGTTATATTCTTACATTCCTCTAAAATGGTTATATGAAGAAGACAAGCAAGCTTTAGAGGTGAAGAAAGCTAAAGGAGCTGATGGTGCCACAGTTAAACATCTCCTAAGACATCAACATTATTTGAACTGTCTTGCAACTGGGCAAGATTACTATGAGAATGTGACGAGAATTAAATCTACAAACCATCATCTTCAAACCTTAACCATGCACAAGAAAGTACTATCGTTTGACGACGACAAGAGGTTTATTCTAGAAGATGGCATCAACACTCTTGCGCTTGGTCATTATAAAATTGATCAAACATAGCCAATAAATTGTATGTGTAGATTTGTATGTGTTATTCAATGCTGCAAAATAAATGTAAATGTTAAAAAACTTCTTTTATTTATTTACCCTTACCATCCTCTTGATAGAATTGGTCAAACATAAATCTATATTTGCCATTATTCTTTGACCT